ACACACATACAGACCCACACGGCGTTTCTCGCGCTATCTGTTACGTGTCACGTCCGTTACCCAACCGCATTCAACCAACCACCTATCTAACTGCTACCTACCTACTAACACGCCATGCTGTACGTACGTATATACGTATGTGTGTAGGTTCAAGCGCCAGCCATTGGACTTCTTCGGCGCGCTGCGGGCGTCTACGTACGACGAGCAAATACGGCAGTGGATCAGGCGCGACATCACCGGTGGGTTGTGGGGGGAAGTGTGTGTTGGGGGGTGGGGGTTTGGGAGGAGTGTGCTGCTGCTGTGCAGCAACAGGGTTATGGTGGCGGTGCTGGCGGAAGGGGGTAGGGGGGCGCCACTTCCCGCACCCGAACATGTGTCGACGGCCCCCCCACCACATACATACATACATACACACGCACCAGGCCCCTTGGCGGTTCCTTTGGTACGGGCCTCTCTGGGCCCCCACCCAACAACCTAACAACCCAACCGCTCAACCAACCAACAACGCAGGTCACGAGTTTTCGGCGGAGGACGCCAATCTGTCGGCGCTTCACCGGCGGCTGCTCAGCACCGACAAATCCGGCCTTCCGCGATTCGAACCTGTGCGCCTGACTGTTGATATGTTGGTGGCGGAAGGCGAGCGGCTCGAGAACGAGCAGCAACAGGTGCTGAATCACAAACTCAGCGCCGATTATTTGCGGCATGTGGGGCGAGAGAAGGAGCGCCAGGAGAAGGAACGAGAGGCGGCGAAGGAGGCGAAGAGGGAGCGAGCAGGGGCGGTGGGGGGGGCGCGGCGGGGGACACGGCCCGTACGGCAGCCGGGTTTCGGGCGTTAGAGGGCTCTCCCCCTTTGTGTCTTTTCCCCCGAGATTGTGGGGTCCGTGTCGGGGTCTGTCTCCCATATCATCCAATCTCATTGGTGGGTGAGTGGGTGGGTGGGAAGGGCATTTGTAGGAGCCCGGTAGGTGGGGAGGGAGAGGAGGTCCAGAGTCCAGGGAGAGGAGGGGACGAAAAAGGAAAACGGGGGAATAGGGGTAGGCAGGTTGCGCATTGAGGGAAGGAGGTTTCGATTACTCGATATCCGGAGTTAGGACCTCTGGGGTTGGGGTCGGGGGTGCGGTTTGCGGGGTGGGATGGGGTGCGGGGTGGGATGGGGTGGGGGTTCTGTGTTTTGTGTTTGACACGGAGATGGGGGCGATTGAGGGCCTTACGAGGTCCGCAGAGGGGAAGGGGGGCGAAGATGAAGAAGATCGCGATGACGTGACGGCGATAATAAGTGATGACTCAATTTAATGACCGACACGATTTAGTTCAAAATGTATTTTGCTTGTCTTGGTGTGTGATGTAATTAGGTATCGTGTTAAGCACATTGTGCCGACATAACAAAACTTCCAGAAGGAAGGAAAAATATATACAGGTATATAAATACACAAGCATAAACGAAGCAGTATGCACTCGCACTTCGTCTAGAAGTCGAACAACAGCGAAGCATGTGTGTAAGACGAACACCAAACACCAAACACGCGAGTAAACAACAACACGGAATAAACACAGATTATACACATTGATATATAAGCTAAGACGATTAGAAAAGACGGTAAAATGAGCGTGACGCTAAAATGTCGTGACAATCGGTTATACATTGAGCACGTTGTGTCGTACAGTACGGTTTGAGAGGTATGCGGGTAATAAGGAGGTGGGACAGGGAGAGGGGGGTCAGTGACCAGCGGGCCTAGAGCCCGTTTAGCTGTAGCGCTATCAACCCGGTGGGAAACGCTGCTTGGTGCCGGGTGTCGTACCCGTCGTACGCACGGTCTGACCCGGGTATGGGCGGAATGCAGCACGACACTAACCAGCCGTGTGTGTCTGACCCCCCCGCGCTGTGTTTCGGCCCTGGCCACCCCCCCGGCTTTTAAGCCCACAATGTAATCAACGTCATACATACATACGTACGTACATTCACTTGTCTTTCGTCTACCATTACGACCGAGTGAGTGAGCGAGAGATTACTATCAGACGAAGAACCAGCTGCTCATTGCCGCCACCACCGTTATCACCATCATGGCCGCAACCACCATCACCATCACCGCCATCACCATCACCGCCATCACCATCCAAATCAAACTGAGCGATATCGAGCACCACAGAGTAGTACGGAAAACCGCACGGCACTCACGCTGGCGCATACACACATACATACATACTTACGCACACGCACACGCACGCGCATGGAAAGGCTGCACCAGGGAATGCGATGATGCGCCGGCGCCTTAGGGGATGCCCCCCCCCCACACACACACCTAATGGAGGGTTGGTTACCGCGCCGACCGCCGCGACAAACCCCCAGGCTCTCCCCCCTCC